GGAACTATAAAGGGAGAACAAGGCATTTTGACAGGAAACAAAATCCAGAATGGAATCAAGTCTTTGCATTCTCAAAAGAACGCATACAATCCTCTACACTAGAAGTTTTTGTCATGGACAAAGAAATGCTAGGAAGTGACGAGTACCTCGGTCGTGTAGTGTTCGACTTGAACGAGGTTCCAACACGGGTTCCCCCGGATAGCCCATTGGCACCTCAATGGTACCGATTGGAGGACCGGCGAGGAACGAGCCGGGTAAGAGGGGAAATCATGGTTGCAGTTTGGATGGGAACACAAGCTGATGAAGCCTTTCCAGAAGCATGGCATTCTGATGCAGCCTCAGTGTTTGGGGAAGGTGTTCATAATGTAAGATCAAAGGTTTATGTCTCTCCAAAACTATGGTATCTGAGGCTAACAGTGATTGAAGCTCAAGATTTAATCCCCACCGACAGAAACCATGTTCCTGATGTTTTTGTCAAAGCTCAAGTAGGAAACCAGATACTCAGAACAAGGAACAGTTCAACAAGCACAGCTAATCCATATTGGAATGAAGATTTAGTGTTTGTGGTAGCTGAGCCATTTGAAGAACAGTTGCTAATCACCATTGAGGACAGAGTGCACCCTTCAAAAGAAGATGTCTTGGGGCAGATCAGTCTGGCACTCGACGCGTTCGACAAGCGGCTTGATCATAGGCCAGTTCATTCGCGTTGGTTTAACCTCGAGAAGTACGGTTTTGGAGTTCTAGAAGCTGATAGGCGAAAGGAACACAAATTTTCAAGCAGGGTTCACTTGAGAGCTTCTCTTGAAGGTGGATATCATGTACTAGATGAATCGACTTTATACATCAGTGATCAACGACCAACTGCTAAGCAGCTATGGAAACAACCAGTGGGAATATTGGAGGTTGGAATTTTAAGTGCTCAAGGATTACTTCCAATGAAGCTGAAGGATGGGAGAGGAAACACAGATGCTTATTGTATTGCTAAGTATGGTCAAAAATGGGTTCGAACCCGAACGATTCTCGACACGTGCAATCCCAAATGGAATGAGCAATACACATGGGAAGTCTATGATCCATGTACTGTAATTACCTTGGGAGTTTTTGACAATTGCCATTTGGGGGGTGGTGGTGACAAACATAATGGAAGCAACGGAGGAAGAGATTCGAGGATCGGAAAGGTTCGAATTCGAATATCGACACTTGAAGCTCATAAACTCTACACACATTCCTATCCACTTCTGATTCTGCACCCCAATGGAGTGAAGAAGATGGGAGAGCTCCAACTTTCGGTTCGCTTCACCGCCCTATCTTTGGCAAACATGATACATGTCTATGGAAGTCCATTGCTCCCTAAGATGCATTACCTTCAACCTTTTACAGTGAACCAAATAGAAAACTTAAGGTACCAAGCTATGAACATAGTAGCAACAAGGCTCGGTCGAGCTGAACCGCCTCTACGAAAAGAAGTTGTTGAATACATGTTAGATGTGGATTCACATGTTTGGAGCATGAGACGAAGCAAAGCCAACTTCTTTCGAATCATGTCATTACTTGCGGGAATGATATCAATAAGTCGATGGTTTCGTGAAGTTTGTAATTGGAGGAACCCTGTCACATCGGTGCTCGTGCACATTTTGTTCCTTATATTGATTTCGTACCCTGAACTAATACTTCCTACTGTTTTTCTATACATGTTCCTCATTGGCTTATGGAACTACAGGTTTAGGCCAAGGCACCCACCTCACATGGACACCAAGCTCTCTTGGGCTGAAGCAGTGAATTCTGATGAGCTTGACGAAGAATTTGACACATTTCCGACTTCCAAGGCAAACAACTTGGTAAGATTGAGATATGATAGGCTGAGAAGTGTTGCAGGGAGGGTTCAAACAGTTGTGGGAGACATAGCAACACAGGGAGAAAGAGTGGAATCTCTACTTAGCTGGAGGGATCCAAGAGCCACCAGCCTTTTCGTAGTGTTTTGTTTTTGTGTTGCTGTTGTGCTATATGCTACACCTTTCAGAGTGGTGGCTTTGGTTACAGGGTTGTATTATTTAAGGCATCCAAGATTTCGCAGCAAACTACCCTCGGTACCTAGCAATTTCTTCAAGAGATTGCCCCCTCAAACAGACAGCTTGCTATGAGTTACGATGGTCATGGTTTGGCCATGCCTATAATTTGCAATAAAATTATGGATTAAGCTTGTTTTGCTAAATGTATAATTTGATTCAACTCCCAAGTATTTTTCCAATTTTGCCAATTTTCTCTTTCAATTTCTGATAATAAGCTTCCTAAGTAGCTAATGATTCAAATCCACCGCTACCAGATATTGTTCTCTTTAGGCTTTTCTTTTCGAACTTACCCAAAGGTTTTAAAATGATGTACTACACAATCCACCCCTCTTGACCCTCCCCTCTCTCTCATCTCACAAGTCACCTCTTGAGGTCTAGCATTTCTAATAGTCCAAACCTCTTGGGGCTCCCCTCTCCAACCGATGTGGGATCTCACAATCCACCCTTCTTGGGGCCCAACGTCTTCATTGGCACACAATACAGTGACTTGCTCGAAGATCATTTATAATCCACCCCTCATGAACCATTAGAGTCAGCAAGCCATTTATCTTTTCAAATGATTCCTCTCGATTACTTTGTAAGTATGCGTAAGTAAAGTGATGGGAATAGAAGAAATATTACATATCTTATCACTATCAGTCAAAATTCATAACGGGATATAATTTCAAATCTAGAATCCTCATAACAAAACACAAAACAAGAAAATTGTAGCGACCAATTCCACAAGAAAACTGCAAATATCTAGAAAACAAGCTCATGCGGTTTCATGCCTGCCTTTAGAGAAAACCTTGCAGCTAAGTATGTCTTTAAATCTGAAACAGCCTCGATCGACTTGAGCAAAGCTGAGTCCACGGCCTTCTGATCATCCTTTTTGTCCTGTGGGAGAGCACTTTTTTCCTACATGTAAGCAATGGTGACCAGAAATTAAGACAAGAAAGTGAGAAAAATTGAAGTATTTGAAAAAACAAAACATTATAGAAAATAACTACGAACCTCCTTCTCTGCCTCAAAGAACTCTCCTTCTCCCTTCTTTTTCTTCATCTTAACTTCCTTGGAGAAATATTTGTCATCAAACTTCTCCACGTTGACTCCGGCAATGTCTACCTTGGTGGAGGTTGCAATCACATATGACTGATTCACACGCCTCAACGGAACACCATTGACCTTGAATGGTCCTAAAAAAGCAAACTTTACATTAAGATAATCCCTTGTAGGTTCGAAAATTGCAAATTCAAAAATCAAAGACTTAGCCAATCACTACTTTATATGCACCCTTTCTCCCAAACATCTATCACTATCACTACAGTCTGCATCATCTAGACCAACACCTCCCCAACCCACAACCGCCAAATGAAGCTTAGAAACTCTCTTTGTTTCAACACCAAATGAAGCTTAAAGGTCTAAGGTATGTAAAGAAAATTTGCACAACATATAGTCAGAATAGGAGGCATGAGACATTGAAGGGGTATGTAATTGCAGGGTATATTAGACAGAAATGGAGGCATACGACGTCCCAATACTTCTTACTTGTCAATAGAAAAAGTAATGCACACAACACATTGAAGATAATACGTAAACGTAAGGCGGACGGATTTTAAAATGACAAAAATACAATAAACGAAGCTTACAATGCAGAACTAATGCAAATCCAAAATGAATGTAGGAAAAAAAAGCTCATTACCACATGAACAGATAGCGATATTACAGAAAAATTACAAAGGAAGGCGATTAGAGAAAATTGCCAATACTCACCAGTGACTAAAAGCAACCCAGATGGAAGTTGCTTCAAGAACACAACTCTCTTTCCCTTGAACCTTCCAGCGAGAATGATAAGCACGGTTCCAGGAGTAATGCTAGACCTGCAAATGATATGAAATTGACAAACTATGTTATATGAAATCACCCGACGCACATTTCTTTGAACTGACCCCCATGTTTATTATTTGGAAAATGAGCAACATTACTTCACTACACGCAGTTCAGACTTCAACAAATTTCAAATCTGGAAACCTAAAAGTTTCAAATCCCCCTTTTTCATAGCTACAGCATGAACTCTATTCAGTCTAATAGGGAGTGACACTGCCCCATTCATTTTGTGATTTCATGTAATTAACGCAATTGTTTCTTAGTTGATTCCAAATTCCTCAGTTTCGGAACCATAAAAAAGTCAAAATACACCAAACAATATACGTTCCAAGGCACTGCAGTAAACATCAAAAGAAAGACACTGAGAGAGATAGACCTAAGTTTGGTGGGCTTAGCCTTGCGCTTGTTGACAAGTGGCTTCTTGACATCGTCAGCAGGGTAAAACTTCGGCGGCTTCTCTGCCGGCGCGTCGGCCTGAGGCTTGGCATCGTGGCGAGGGAAGACACCTCCATTTTTCGCCTTGATTGCCCAAAGACCACGCTTGTGGTACATCTTCGACCTCGAATATTTCCCAACCCCACGAATGAGATCAGGGTTCCTGCTAGTTCTCGCTGCCTTCGGAGCCATTGATGAATTCCTTCTCTGAGATCTCGTTATCGTCTCCTCTCCTCTTCGCCGAAACCCTGAGATTTAAGAGATGGAGGCACATATATATTCAATATGGAGCCCTAAAGTGAAATTGGGCCTTTCATTGCCTTTATGTTGTTGGGCGTTATTGTTGAGATAAATCTTGGTTATATAACAATTTTATTTTATTTAGTCTTTATAATTAAATTATTTATTCTCATAAAGAAAATTTAAACTTTTCAAATTTTAATTTTCTCAAAATTATAAAAAAAAAAAAAATAATAATTTAATTAAAATTTACACCTAAACATTTTAGTCCAAATTTTAGTAGGTAATAATTTAGACTTTGTATTTTTAAATTTGTAATAATTTAATTTTTCTCGTGAAAACTTTCTATCATAACCGAAAAAACTGACGAGAAACATTCTTAATATATATATGAATTATTTCATTAAAGAAAGTTGGTGTTTACAGTAAAATATGTAATTACAAGAACTTATTCATTAAAGAATCAAAGAATCATACAATGTGATATATATATATAGACATCTTTCTCACTCATTTTCATAGCCTCAGCTGTGTTCTTCAGCTTGCTGCTGCATTTGATGCTTCATCCACCCGACCAGACGATACCAAACTCATGGTTCTAAAGAGGGCTCGGCTTCAAGCATCGACTCGGGATGTCCGAGGTTTTGTCAACTCAAACTCTTGTTCTTCATCAGAGCTGTTGACTTATATGGCACGAGCATCAGAGCTGTTGTTGCACATGCATTCAGGAATAGGGTACTTAGTAACGTCTCGTCCCACTTTGCTGGTTCGAAGTTCGGGCTGTCCAAGGGAGTCCTGATGCAACTCCTTGATGATCCTGTTAAACTCTGGTTCAGGTAGTGAGGAGTCCAGGAAAAGGGGCAGCATGTGCCTTTTGTTTGGTGTTATGTATTTCTTGTGCCCAGCATAAGCCCTGCGTCCCTGTAATCAAACGAACAATCAACTTCGTCGTGATCGGACTCGAGAAGCAAAGGCATGGCATGGCAAACTGAATGAGAATTTATACCTGAATGGCATGGCCCATGTTTCCTCCATGAGAAGGCATGAAAACATCGCTGCTCTCACATACAATATAGTCGATAGCTGCCATAATCGAAGCTTTTTTCACGAACGGTTCGAGTTCACTCGGCAAAGCAAGATCGTCCTTGTTGAAGAAATTCGGGAACTCGCTTGTTAACAGCTGCAGGGCCTCTTTTCCTCCCAGGGGTTGCCCTCCAGCCCAGTATATTCTTGTATCTCTAGGAGCTCCAAGAGCTTTTAGTAACCTGCATAAGAGTTGCAATGTTTAGTCCAGCAGAGCCATAACTGGAAATGATTGGCAACGACAAGCATATGGTCAAGCAATCCTTACCTCATAACCTCATAGGCATTCAGGGGGCAAAGGCCTGCAAGTTTTCTATCATGGTAGCTCATGTTTGACCGAGCAGTTAAGAGTTCGGGCCGTTGTATTCGTTCGTTGTTTATCATCTCGTCATATTTGGGGCTCAAACCAGGTAAACAACCAGTTCTCACCCATACGTCTTTCTCCATTCGCAAATGAAGCGCAAGGTACTGCCCTTTGCTTCGCATTCTCTCGGTGAGCTTGTTGCCAAGTTCTACGATCGGTGGAGCGAACCTCAAAGCACGAAAAGCAACCTGAAGCAAAGAGGAAAAAGAACAACAATTTACACTGATATTCCCAGAATGTTATCAGAATTAAGTAAAGGGTGTAAGATCCCACGTTTGTTAGAGAGAGGAATAAATCATTTTTTATAAGGGTGTAGAAACCTCTTCCTAGTAGACATATTTTAAAAACCTTGAGGGGAACCCCGAAAAGGAAAGCTCAAAGAGGACAATATCTACTAGCGGTGGGAATAGGCTGCTACAAATAGTATCAGAACCAAACATTGGGCAGTGTGCCAATGAGGACGTTAGGCCCAAGGGGGGTGGATTGTGAGATCCCACATCGGTTGGATAGGAGAACAAATCATTATTTACAAGGGTGTGGAAACCTCTCCCTAGCAAACGGGTTTTAAAAACTTGCCCGAAAGGGAAAGCCCAAGCTCAAAGAGGACAATATCGGCTAGTGGTGGACTTGGGCTGTTACAAAAGAATTACTTATAAAGCCGCAGCAAAAGAACTCATATGTTTCGATCAAGAGGTACTATTCGAACCGATGTATAGAATATGTATTGAAAGCAGTGATCGATTATATAATGCATACACTTCGATCGAGTCTAAGCAACAAGCTACTAATCACGAGAAAACAAAGAGTAACAACAAGATGAAAAAAGCTTTGATACCTTGCATCTAAGCTTTTGGAGATCAGAAGGAAGATCCTTAGAAAGCCTCGAGTCCAAGCCGCGCAACAGCAGTACCCCTTCTCTTCTAAGCTGCAAAATCCAAGACACACTCCTTAATATCATCAAGCTAATAACCATAACATTTTCCAGTAATAAAGATTAAAGAACAAGGTTTAGTTAAAAAACATAATAAGGACAGAAAAATGCCACAAAAAAGCTTTTAGTTGGTAATATGTTGCTGTTTGGTCAACCTTAGCAGACAGGGAATGTATGTGTGAACCTTAACAAACAGGGCTTACATTTATGGTTAACAGTATCTATGAGACCAACTAACCTAAAAGCTTAAGGAGTTTAGTTAAATGGTTAACATGATAATTCCTCGGCTTTATATTATTTGTTTATGTGTTAGCCTTTGTCAATCAAATTAACACCCGAGCCCACAAGTAAAATCTGAGATTCTATGTTGGTTGGAGAGGGGAACGAAGCATTCTTTATAAGGGTGTGAAAACCTCTCCCTAACAGACGTGTTTTAAGAACCTTGAGGAGAAGCCCGAAAGAGAAAGCTCAAAAGAACAATATCTACAAGCGGTGGACTTGAGCCGTTACACATGGTATCAGAGCAAGACACCGAGTGATGTACCAGTGATGAGGTTGAACCCCAAAGGGAGGTGGACACCAGGCAGTGTGCCAGTGAGGACGCTAGGCCCAGAAGGGGGTGGATTGGGGGGTCCCACATCGATTGGAGAGGGGAACGAGTGCCAGCAAGGACGCTGGGCTCCGAAGGGGTGGATTGTGAGATCCCACATCGGTTGGAGAGAGGAACGAAGCATTATTATTAAGGGCGTGGAAACCTCTCTCTAGCAAACACATTTTAAAAACCTTAAGTGGAAGTTCGAAAGGAAAAACTCAAAAAGGACAATATCGGCTAGCGGTTGACATTTAAACTAACAATAGCAGTCTCGAAACTTCGAGACTGATATTCATGCATTATGGCAACGTAACGAAGGCTCTCCTACAAACATTAAAACTGAGTTAAAGTGGCATTCAAAACCAATCTTCAAAGATGCTTTGTAATGAGCTAGATTAAACTACATGGTAGGGACATAATGAAAAATAGCAGAGCAGTAATCAACAGATTCCTTTCCTATCAATCACGAAGCCTCGACATTTTTAGCAGCGAGCTTCAAACAAAAGCCATGGCAGCTAAAAGAACAGACACGACCATCCTTACCTTCCTAAGGTACCGCAACCGAATCCAACTCGGTGAGACATGATGGGGAGTCGATTTTTGCTCGACTGGCCGAGTCATCAAATGAGTCGATGGCAGAGACGAAACAATATGAACATCATCTGCTAAAACATTCTTGAAATGCTCCAAATCAAATATATCAGAGAATTCACTGCAACAATCAAACATAACACAGAAAATCAAACTTAGCAACTGATAGTTAAGAAAACTTGGAATATATTTCAGTTCTTATGAATTAGAGACTTCATCAGTATATGAATCGAGTTGATACCTTTCATCTCCCCAGATTACGTTCACTTGCAAGATTGGAACAACCAGAGCAGCTCCAAGAATTCTAGCAATCACAACAGCATCAACGATCTGATTTCTCTGTTGATTCATCCCACCAGAAACAACAACCATCAGATACTTACTCCTTTCACTAACGATTCCAGTGGTTAATTTTCTATAATCTTCGCTGAAATCTAAACACGGTTTGTAGCCCAATCCATCAGGTTGCTTCCAGAACTCCACCTCCTCATTTCCCTCTCCAAAACCCTCATCCGATTTCAAAACCCCATTTGAAATCGGCTTAAGAGATTGAACAGAATCGTTCATAATCACATCCTCAACAACATTTTCCTTTTCTCTATCGATTACACCCGATTTCAAAACCCCATTAGAAACTAAACCTTGCGATTGCGAGGAGAAACATGGGTATGACACGATTAAAGGGTTGAGATTAAAATTAAGTTTCAACATACCCAAAAGGCCGAATAAGAAAATAGCGAGAAGCCATAGCTTCTTCGAGCTTCTGTAAGTGGAAAGACTGAGATATTTGTTGTACGTTTTAGAAGATTTCTTAGGCGAATCGAGAAGGGATTGAAGAGAAGAAGTAGATAAAGAGTTTATGATTTGAGATGGGACGGAAATGTAACATTGCTTCTTGGAATTACTGTTCTTCTTCCCCATTGACGAACCAGAGAACAAATTCTGAAGCTCCAACAAAATCCCACTTCCTTATCCTTTCTCAGATTATAAATCTCATCAGAGAGAGAAAGAACTGTTACAGTAGAAAGAGAGAGAGATGGCGGCGGCGGCGCGGGAAGCGGAGAGAATTTTTCTGATTATAATTACGCGTTGCTGACCAAAAGCAGCCGTATTAGAACGAGAGATTTTCAAGGTGAGCTTCTTTGAAAGGAAGCTGAAGCTTATTTATATTGCCCTTCTTCTAATTATTATTGGTTTAATCATAACTATAGCTCATTAAATATTAAAAAATACAAATAATGTCCATTTGTAGGTGAAACTACTACTATGCCCTCACACTTCTTTTTTTATTTAATAAAATTTAGTCTTTTCCTTTATAAATAATTATTACAAGTTAATAAAATTAAAAAAAAAACAAATCATATGAACTAATTTAAATATTTAAAATTTTAATTATTTAGCCTAATGATATTTTTTTAAATATTTTGACATGGGTAATTTCTAAAATCACACTATGACTATTTTATATAGTAAATATGTCACATTAATATTTTAAAAATAATGTTGGCTTTATGATTTATAATGTAACATTTTTTTCTATTTAAATTGAAATATGACTTGGATCTTTAATTATTATTATATGTCTATAAATTTGGTTGCTCAATATTTAAAATATTTAACTTTTAAAAAGTTTAGTTTTAATATTTTAACTTTCAATGGACAGTTCACCGATTCATAATTAAAAATAATATTAATAACTAAAGATAATTAACAATAAGTTTAATTTTGTTTATATGAACAAAAGTGTGATTGATACATTTTATATCTTTTTTTATTATAAAAGTAAAATGCCAAAATTCACTTCCACTAAGTCAACGGAGGTTAATGTGTGAATTTGTAGTTTATAATTTTAAATGCTTTACTTTTATTATTTTATTTTGATAAATCTTAAAAAAATAATTTGTATAGTAATTTTGATATTTAAAATCCTTTGAGCTCAATTTTAAGGGTAAAATTGTAATTTAACTGTTATCATTTATGGGTTATCCATGAAACTATGTTCAGATCATTATTAGTTCGATCACAAAAATTTATATAATTATGATTTTATAAAATAAAGTCAAATACACAATAAAACCCGTGACTCTATTATTTAAAAGTCACATTATTATAGAAATATGTGCAATAAAATTTCAAAATTTTTAATACAACTATATGTTTATTCACATTGCCATGATTTTAAATTAAAAGTATTTAAAGTATTTAGTCTCTCAATTTTATGACAAAAATTAAATAACCTATTTGAATAATATGATTTCATATATTAAAACTATGATATATCACAAATAATAATTATAAGAACCCACTTATACTTATTGTAATATATATATATATATATATATATATATATATATATATATACTAACCAATAGAAATAAAAAGGGAGCAATATAATTATAAAAAAAAAATCGAAGACATGAAACTTTGTGGGGAAAATGAAATGTCCAACTCCTCGAGATGGTTGCGTGTCGTGTTGCGTCTTTCGCCAGCTGTCACTTATTTTTTAAAAAAATATTTTTTGTTTATGTTTACAAAAAATAAAAAAATAATAAAGAAAAAGATAAAGGCATGTGATTATGCTGCCGCCATTCCCAGACAGGCTGTTATTTCACTGTCCTAATATGCCATTCTCATCCAATCAAAAAAAAAACCCCCTCTTCAATTATTTTTCTTTCTCTGCCAGCTGGCATCCACTTCCTTACCACGCTGGCATTCCCTGCCACGTCGGGTTTCTTCTTATTCTCGTGGACCCATTTCCATCAGGTTTCTCGTACGAGGTACACCTCAGCAACACCCATTTTCCAGAGAGTTTTCATCTCTCTTTTTTTTAAATAGCTTATTTTCCCTCCAAAATTACCCGTCATATTTAAGAAAAAAAAAAAAGGTTAAACTTAATAATAATAATAATAAATAAATTATATATTATTAATTAATGCGTGACAACAATAATACCAAAAGCTAATTGGCATATATTTTTAATCAATAGATTAAAAATTCATATCATCTACCTCAACTATATATATATATATATATATATATATATATATATATATATATATATATATATATATATATTTGTGACATATAGAACATACATGGATGGGACAAAAAATATTTCAAAATAGGGAACTTTTTGTAGTTGCACACAAACAAGAGTATGAATTATCTTTTAAAAAGAAAACAAATAAATTGATACTACTTTCCCCTTGCCCACCAAATTTGATATTTAAATGTGTGATAAACGTTTATAAATTGAATATAATTTAAATTTTAAAAAATAAATAAGAAATAAGCATTCAAATATCAATATCATAATTAAAAACATTAATACGATAAATATTATAACAAAAATATTGTTTACTATATTATGAAGGGTGATTACGACTACTTAACAATAAGATGTACTTTTTAAGTTACACGTTACAAATTTTAATTAGCTAATTAATAATTATAATGACCGTTAATTAATGTATAATTAATTAATTGATTATGGTTGGGAAGTCAATTAAGCAAAATAGAAGATAATAGAGTCAAAATTGTGGAAGAAATAGGGGAAATAATTGAAAGAGATATGGATTATTGATAGTTTCCGACCCAATCTTGAGGGGTTCCTTCACTCTATAAGGCTCCAGCTGTGTTTTGCCAAACTCCAAAACTTGTGATTTGTTTGCTTATTCCCTTGTATTATTCCTTTTTTTTTTTTTTTCAAAATAACTTTTAAAAAAAGTTACATGTTTTAATAATGTAAATTTTTTTGGAGTAGGTTGAAAATTGAAATATAATTTATTCCTATATTCTTATTCTTATTCTTATTTTATTGTAAAAACATTTGAGAGAATAATATGCACTTTTTTAAAGGATAAATATTTAAGACTTCTAATAAAAATAAAGAGAAAATTTAAAATAATAATTTATTTTGAAGTAATTTTTAAAAAAATTAAAAATAATATATAGAGAGAGTTTTCAAAGTGATGGAAACATATATTTTAGTTAGTGGGAAATTCATTTGATTGGTGACTAAGTCCAAAACCATACAATTTGGTTATACTTTGAAAGAGACGCCTCTATTTGAATGCCACGTGGATGTCATTTGTGGACTTACTTGCTTCCTTCCTCCACCCATATTTTATATTTTCTCCATTTTAAAAAATATATAAAAGAAAATTATTTAAATTAATTGCCACGTAAATAAACAAATATAAGTGTTTTTTTTTTTTTTTAATTTTAGGAAATTTTAAATTTTCTCTCTCTAATGTATCATGCACATTCATGACATCATCTTTCATTAAACTTAAATCATGCCTTGTTTTTTTCTTTAATTAAATTATAATGTGAACTTCCCCTACCATTTAATTGCATTTTAATTAATAATTGCGGAGTTAGGTCAAAATGAAATTAAATAATATATGTCACTTCTAGATAATAACTACGCCGAGGAAATAAAAATATATTAAGGTATATTTGTCATTAGCATGATGCAAAAATAATTATTTAGACTATTTTTTCAATATTCAATTTCTCGCCGAACATATGGCTGAATTAAAATGACTTGAGGAGTTGGTTCATCAAAGAAATATTAATTTATTTTGCCGGTCACAAAAATGTAATTCACAATGAAACGGCCATTTTTAAATATCTAAAGTTATTGTCAAATATTAATTTTTAAAGCTCCATTTCATTTTTTTTTTGGTGAAGGTAATACTAGCTTGAAAATTTAAAAATAAATTAAATAGTTATTATAAGTTTAAATAATTTAAATTCTTTCTCTAGGTTAGCTTTTTTTTTCTTCTAAGAATATCGTACTTTATAAAGGTAGGTCCTCCATATTTTAACGAGCTAGACACGGGGTCCTCTATTATTTCATCTATGTCATTGGCAAACATTGATCGATAATTCAGTGTCTTATTAGCCATTTTTTCAATTAATATGTACGATTTTTTAATTACATGAGAAACCGAAATCAAAATTCATTACATTAAAAACAAAACATTTTTCCAAATTTTAATGAAAAAGGTTGTCTTGTTTTATTATTTGTGTCGTGACAACATTGGTTTGATTAAACTAATTCAATTAATTACTTTACACTAAAAACAAATTCAAGTGGAAATCCAAAGGAGTTTTTTCAGGGAAATTTTGAGAGAAAATATTTTTTCAATACAGGCTCTATTAAAAATGGGAGATAATTATTGTAACTTATACCTTCTTGTTCCATTGTTTATTTTTTAAATTGTATTATGTTTTTTTTTAAAAAAAAAAACAAATCAAATACTCTACGTGTGACACGGGCAAATTTTCGATAGCTTACCCAAAATAAAATTATACTAAATTTTTATACCTCGAGCGAAGTGGAATAGCCTCGTTCTTTGTCTACGAGTTATGTTGTCATCGTCAGTCTCTAATTACTTGAATTTATGGATAAATTTTAACTTTTGATTTATATTATCTACATTTGAAGCACGTCAACCGCATTATTTTAGCTTTATAAAATGATATCTTCATTGTGACATTAACCCTATTTAAAGTAAATTAAACATACCAATTATGTTGAAAATAAGAATAAAAATGCAAATCAAAACCATTTTTCTGTAATGGACATGACTTGCAAACTAAGCAAATCCTTTGTAATTATCTCTTTAAAAAAAAAAATATAGTTAGGAATATAAAAATTAATGTCATGATATTTATTTTCATAATTTGAAGTTAGGTTAAAAAAATATCATATAAAAAGATTATATAATTTTTAAAACAATTTGAAAATTTTAAAAAATTAAATAACATTTTTTAATGTCTTCTCTCTCACAAGGAACAAAATATATTATTTTAAAAAATGAAGCATCCAAACGATGATTAAATATATAAATCAAGATTAATCATGTGATTGTATTTTGTTTTTCAACAATATATTAATGTTAATATATATATATATATATATATATATTGTGGTTATTAATAATTTTAATTTTTCAATACTTAGGTTATAGTTTGGTTAATTAAATAAATTTGCCGTCCATTTCGTCATCATATATTTGATAGCTAGCTACTTTAAATTATATTAAAAAGAAATTAGAAAATTTACAAAGTTGAGTGATGAAATTAAATTGATGCGACATTATTAATAACATAACTATACAAACATTTTCAAACTTAATAATTTCATTTAAAAATAATTGAACCCAAGTCTGTCGAGATAAAATAAATTGGTTTTTTTTTTTTTTTAATTTGAAAAATAATTAAATAACTGAAAAATGTGAAACCAATGATGGAACCTTGATTCTCTTTCTATTATTATTATTATTATTTTGATCATTAAATTAATAAAATTAGAATTTATTCGCGAAGATTTTAATTTTTAAACTTACCGAAACTAAATTATAACAAAAACACTCCAACATTCATATAGATCATCCAAGCGTCAAAAGAGAAGACTAGAGATTGATCTTTAGTGATAAGTGAATATCAAACCATCAACATGGCTAAGACGGACTATTATACCTATTCAATAGATTTCAATTGTGATACAATTCCATTGTCTGCTCCTATCATGTTCGTGTTTACTTGTACGCCACAACAACAAGCTCTAAGGACTCCTATTAGGTCTGAAACAAGGTATGTTTGCTCCCGACTCGAAAAGTATCAATCTCAATAGTTTTGAAATTTCGATCAACTAAAAACCCACAAGGCATTCACTATGATAATGCTATATAATCCTCACTATACGACAACAAAGCTCTCCCATCTACCGATCATTTGATTGTCGAACGAACAATGTAGGCTTAACCTATTTTTTAAACTTTTTTTTTATCACTCTTTTGTAAATATATGAAGAACACACTAAAATCCCATAAACAAAATGCTAAAAAAAATTCAATTTTTAATTATAGCATAGACTTTCTCTCTCCTCCCATTATTTTATTTTACCCTCCTTTCATTCTCTTGTAAAAATATATAAAGAACTTTAAAAAAAAAATAAAATTTTTAATGATAATATTGACTCTCTCTTTTCATATATGAAGAATATAACAAAATCCCACAAAGAAAATGCTAAAAAGATTAAATTTTTAATAATTATTGTATAAAATTTAAAATTATAAGATATGTATCTGAAATGTGAATATGAAATTAGGTAATGATTAAAGAGAAGGAAAGGAATTATTAATGGGTTGGTTGAGAATTAGATAATATAATTCCCATATTACCAAACTTTACAAATTTATACAATTTTATTTAAGCTCTAAGGTTGTATACAAATTTGGTGCACTTCCACTCCATCCATTACCTGCCCTCTTCCCTACTCTTAAAATTCCCACCTACCTAAGTTTTCGAGAAATATAATGTCGTCGCTCGGTTATCGTCTTTCTTATATAAACTAAATATCGACGAGTTGAAATTTAAAATTTTAATTATTATAATACAAATTAAAATTAAAAATTTATAATGAGCTATGATAATAACCCTTTTGGTTTGTTGGGGCAGATAGGTTAGAAGGTAGTTGAATGGTTGATATCAAGGTGAGTTAAGATGAGTTGAACAACCCATGCTTATCAACAAAGCAAAACAAAACAATTTCAAACAAACCCATTGATTGTGATTTAATCATAATCTATAACCCTTAACTAATGTAATATAAATAATTTTTCAACGTCAGCGTATGCTCGGGTCTCGAGTCACGTTTGAGATAGAGAGAATTTGACAATAGCTTAAATATCATATAACTCTCAAAGCTTGATCAACCCAACTTTATGTATATGGTTGAGTTGGGTTCATTACTTTAAGGTTGAAAAAAGTTACAACTCGAACAATTAGGTTCGGTCTAAAAAAAACTTCGACGGGACCTACCTAAACTTTAAGACAACGCAATAGACTTTATATATATATATATTTTTTTTTTCTTTTTAAAATGCTGACTCATATAAAAATAATATGGACATAAAAAAGCTTTTAAAAAAATAAAATAGAGACAATAATATAAAAATAATGGGTGTGACATTTAGACCCCTATTGCATGATTGATGTTTGTAAGATTCAATGATTAAAAATAATTTCAAACATTATCCATTAAAACTTGATGTGTAGCAAAAGAAACTCAACATTTTTGAATGTCTACAAATGTAAGCTAAGATCTTGGCCACATCACATGCAAATCCTTTGAAACAATAAAAACACAATAATTTTGAAAGTTTTTAAATGTTTTTGAGCCACAAAATATTTATCAACGGGATCTTAGATCACAAACGGTTATGATGGGCTTCGGGTTCCCATGTGATGTTTATAAGGTCGTTTTTTGACAAATTTTCGTTAACATAATACGTTATAAATGTTAGATGAGAGTGTCCCACATTGGTTAATTTAGGGAATGATCATGAGTTTATAATCTAAGAATACACCCTACATTGGTGTGAAGCATTTTGGGAAGCCCAAAGCAAAGGGAGGTGTTAGATGAAAGTGTCCCATATTGGTTAATTTAGGGAATGAGAATGATGAAAGGATTGCTGGAGGAAGGGGTGTATGAAAAGGAAAGACTTAAATTTTTTTTTCAAAGAAGAGGAAGGACCATGTTTGTATCATGTGAGGATTGTCCCCCTTGCCATGTGCATTAATTTTCCTCAAATTTTCCCCAATTTCTCACCTATTTTTCCCCTTCTCACTTTTAAATGGTATAAGGAGAAACCTTCTTTATTATTATTATTTTGTGGGTTAAGAAATATATCGTGAGACTCCCCATAGAACGAAACCTTTTTCATAAGGGTATAGAAACCTCTCCTGAAAAAAAATTCGAAAAGAAAAAACTAAAAGAAGATATTATCGGCTAGTGATGAACTTGAACTATTATAAAAGATATCAGAGATAGACACTGGGTGGTGTGCTAGTGAGAACGTGAGCCCTAAAGGGAGGTGAACACTGAATAGTGTGCCAACGAGAATGTCCCCTCCAAAGGGGGTGTACACTGATGCCAACAAAGACGCTGGGTCCGAAAGAGTCGCGTGTGAATTATAAAAAACAACCCCAACTATTAAAAAAAATGGAAAACAAAAAATGAAAGAGTCACGTGTGAATTATGAAATCAACACAGAGGTAAGAATAATTGGGCCAGAAGATTAAAGAAACTTGGCCCAAAATTTTCATCTTGGTCTTCTGGGGATAGGCCCACAAATTAATGGATTGGGCCTTTGTTACAAACACTGAAATTTACTTCACAATGACAAAAACAAACTATAACCAATAGATTCAAAGTAGTTTCTAATAATAAGGATTTAGTCAATGCAGAATTTACAATTTAACCTAAAAATATGAAGTTGGGATGGAAAGATGATCACAAATATGACTATTTTCTTCCCCAAGTCTATCTATTATACGTCAAATGGCGCAAACTTGATTGAAGCCGTCTTTTGTGATGAACTTTTTCTTCCTAAAAAAGGGTTCGTGAGATAATCCAACGAAATCTTTGTCCGTATTTGCCACCATTGTACCCAACATTCAATCTATATATAAGCATTCAACAATCTTCAGAGAGGGTCTTCCTTCCATCCTTCACACTCTTTTTCCTCTCTCTCTTCATTTTTCTGGATCCACAAGCACTCTCAGATCTCAATCGCCGCCCTTCTCCTCCATCTTAAATTCCATTGGATTCTGACCCACTTCCCCAATTCGCCTATACAAGGTAAGTTTCCCCAACCCCACTTGTTATTTCATGGTTCTGTTGATTACAGATTGTTATATTTGCTTGTTTTCCATGTAATCGAATTGGGTTGTTGTTTTTTGTTCATTTTCTTCTCATTTTAGTTACGTGCTGCTCTCCCAGATCGTGGGGCTTTGTTGTATTGTCTGAATTGGACTTGTGTAGTATCTTTAGATTGGATTGTGAGTTTTTGTTTTGTAGCTTACGATCCATTAGGAATGGCATTGCTATTTGTTAATTAGTATTGGATCTGCTTTATATGAGTGAATATGAATGAGGATTGGGATTTGGGATTGAGGGTTTAGGGTTTATGAATGTTCTTGTTGTTGTTCACTTCAGAAGGGTGCCTATATGCGTTTAATTATTTGAAATCTGTGAAAAAGAATTGGGACTTTTCTGTAATTCAGTTAAATTATTTCTCTTTCAGTTTCTCTATATATTTATAAACCATGTGGAGGTTCAAGCCTTTCATGCACAAAGAACCATCTGGTCTTGAGGGTCGCTCGATTGACGTTGGCAATCTTAAGATTCATGTTAGAAACGTCATTGCGGAAGGCGGATTCTCTTGTGTGTACTTGGCCAAGGATGCTATACATGTTTCGAAACAGTATGCTTTGAAGCACATTATATGCAATGATGTGGAATCTCTTGAATTGGCGTTGAAGGAGATTTCTGTAATGAAATCACTCCGAGGCCACCCGAATGTTGTTACACTTTATGCCCATACGATCGTAGATATGGGACGCACAAAGGAAGTTTTAATTGTGATGGAATTTTGTGAGAAGTCTTTGGTTAATGTCTTGGAGAGTAGAGGAGCTGAATACTTTGATGAAACTCAAGTTCTCTTCATTTTCCGAGACGTGTGCAATGCAGTATTCGCAATGCATTGTCGTTCCCCGCCAATTGCTCACAGGTAAACATGGTAGCTAGTTGTCTATATCCCAACAATCTTTCTCTTAAAAGTTATAATAGCTTCCACAATATTCATTCTGTGGTCTTCCATGCCTTGTTAATGAACTAAAGTGATTTTCTCTGCTAGTAATTTAGTTGTTTAACTGATGTTCTGTAGTTAAGATATATAAAAGATCTCTATTCAATATCTCTAAAGTCATGTTTGCTGTGAGATCCCACATCGATTGGAGAGAGGAACGAGTGCCAGCGAGGACGTTGGGCCTCGAAGGTGGGTGGATTGTGAGATCCCACATCGATTGGAAAGAGCAACGAGTGCTAGCGAGGACGTTGGGCCCCTAAGGTGGGTGGATTGTGAAATCCCACATTGGCTAGGGAGTAGAACGAAACATTCTTTATAAGAGTGTGGAAACCTCCCCCTAGCAGACACGTTTTAAAAACCGTGAACGAAAGTCTGAAAGGGAAAGCCCAAAGAGCACAATATCAACTAGCGGTGGGCTTGGGCTGGTACATCTGCTCTCTGTTATTTGTGGTATATGGTTTTGGTTGATGTAATCCCAACCATGTTTTGAGGCACTTGTCATTGGTGTATGAATTATGTTCTTTGTCATGTCTTAACTAAGATCTTGATTTTCTCTTGTGATTTCCATTTTCAGAGATTTGAAAGCTGAAAATCTTTTGTTAGGCTCAGATGGCCACTGGAAATTATGTGATTTCGGAAGCACTTCTACGAATCACAAGCGCTTCGAGAAGCCCGAGGAAATGGGCATTGAAGAAGATAACATCAGGAAGCATACTACACCTGCCTATAGAGCCCCTGAGGTATTAAAAAATTCATATCTTGATCTTAATTTTTTTTTGCAGTTGTGATATTTGGTTATCAATATGTTAGTAATTTTCATCTATTTCCTGTTATGACACAGATGTGGGATCTATTCCGTAGAGAACTTATAAATGAGAAAGTTGACATATGGGTAAGTATAGTCTTCCTCTTTACCGATCTCGAAAGGTTAAATTGTGATATAGTGTAAAATCCCACTTCGATTGGGGAGGAGAACAAAGCATTTCTTATAAGGGTGTGGTTACAAATGGTATCAGAGCAGACACCGAGCAGTGTGCCAGCGAGGATGCTAGGCTCCAAGGGGGGTGGATTGTGAGATCGCACATTGGTTGAAGAGGAGAACGAAACATTTCTTATAAGGGTGTAGAAACTTCTCCCTACTAGACGCGTTTTAAAACCGTGAGGCTGACGGCAATACGTAACGGGTCAAAGTGGACAATATTTGTTAGCGATAGACTTGGGCGGTTACATATTAGTTCTCTAACAATTTCCTTCACAAATGAACTTATAAAGAATTGATGTTCTTTTCATTTCTGAGATTTGAATTCTATTACACGACAGGCTCTCGGGTGTCTTCTCTTCCGCATATGTTACTTCAAAAGTGCTTTTGATGGAGAATCGAAACTTCAAATTTTAAATGGGAACTATCGAATTCTGGAGTTACCGAAATATAGCTCATCTATTACAGACCTAATCAAAGATATGCTCCAAGCGTCACCAAATGACAGACCAGACATCACGCAGGCAAGCGCTTTGCTTGATTGGCCATTCATCTCCATGAATTTAGGTTAGTTTAGATTACTCATGTCGATGACGATAATAGGTGTCAGGATTCTCATAATTCCTTCCCGATCTTGGGGTTGGTTTGTGCCGTGGCAGGTCTGGTTTCGTGTTAACAACCAGCTACCTGTTCGATCACGAAAGTCATTACCTGATCAGCCACCTGACATGCAGTCTTCAGAGAAACAGGAAGGTGAGGGTGAAGGTAGCTTAAGGGTTCATTAATTTGATTAGTTCTATGTTATCTAGTTCATCAAGAAAGCAGAGGTCGTTTATATCTTTAGTCTCCAAATTTGTGAAGGGATTAATTATGGTATGGTGTCGAAGTTTGTTGATATAAATGTTATCTTAGCAGAAGTTTGTTGATAAAATGTTATCTTAGCAGGCGCTTTGAACCTTATGAACAAGTCTCCTATGCCTCGTAGAAGTCCGCCCCCACCTCCATCAGTTAAAAGTTCATCACAGGCAGCGCATGCGCCGAAGGCCACAGGCGGAGGGGGAGGGGGAGTTGGAGGAGGACCGCTGGGTGCTTTCTGGTCTACTCAACACGCCAATGAAACGACTAACAAAGATACAAGCCAAATTAGGTTCGACGAAGAATCAACCTCTCATAGTACATCGAAACGTGAGAAGACTAATCCAAATAATCATTCTGCGGTTAAGAATGCTAGTTCTGGGAATAGCAACCAAAAGTCAAATAAGGCAGTGACTGATAGTGGTTCATTCAGAGACTTTGAATTATCGTTTTTCCAGAACGAAACAGGATGTAGCTCTAATGGAGCGAAAGCATCAAAACCCGAGAATGCCGCTTCCCAAGACAAAGCTTTTAACAATTTTGTTGCTGAGTTTGATACCTCTAAGTTCAGCTCAGGTGTCACTAACAACAGACCAGGAAAGGAAGTAGCAGCATCAGAGGCTGAGGTGGAGAAGTTGAAGGAGCAACTGAAGCAAGCAAACATGGAGAAAGCTGAAATCACATCCAAATTTGAAAAGCTGTCTGCCATCTGCCGGTCTCAAAGGCAAGAGATACAGGAGCTCAAGCAATCACTTGCTGCTAGGAACATTCAGCCTTCTGCTGTACCTCGAGTATTTCCTCGCTTCCTTTTTCGTCCTTTCGATTTGGTTTTCCAAGGAAAACCGCCATATTTATGCATCTTTTACCTCACATTTCAGGTACAGAAGGCCGATTCGAATACTCGAACCCCCGATGCAAAGCCATGGCAGGCCTTTGCAGGAGAATCCCCAATCCAGCAGCCTGATACGCCTGAAAAGGGTGTCAAATCTGTGAGGATTAGGCAGGCTTCTACAGAAGGCACTGGTTTCGAAAGCTGGGGCTTTGGATACGAGAGTTTTACAGCCGTGTCTGCTGGAAGCTCCAACGCATCCAGATTAACTGGTGAAAGGTCTAGTTCACAAAGAACTGATAGAGCTTCACAACCTGCTGGATGGGCGGGTTTCTAGTTCCTCTGGCCATGCTGAACGTGATCTTTGAGTGCTGTTCTTCATTTCTTTGTTTATTTATGTTTGAAGCCGAATAGATGAAATCAAAACTTTACTTGCATCTTTTGAATTTAACTATGTTTGGAGGTGACTTAAATAATTAATATGATCGAGTCTCGAATCCCATTAAGATCATTGTAAGAATTAAAATATCGATCTCAGATTGATGTTTTTACGTTTGATTTCTCGAATCCAATTGTTTAAAGATTAGAAGGAAAGCAATAAAGTCCAAGAACACAAAAAAAGTAAACTTGGGTGAATTCAAAATAGTCATTTTAAAATTGATTTGATTTTCTTCAACGGCACCCGCGAATCCAAGCCCACAATCCAGTCGATGCACAGAAATTCAAGTTTTTTTCTTTCTTTTGGCTAATTTGATATTCAAACAATCAAACCACATACACCCAAATTCCCCGCCACCATGCCCGACGACTCCCTCCCCATCTCCACCAACACGACGCCGGCCGCCGTCGCTGCCACCACCACCACTGTCGCTCCGGGTTCATTAACTCTAACTACTGCTGCAGCCACTACCACTGTCGCTGCTATTGCTCGTCCGCTTGCGAATCAAGCTCCGTCGAGACCCATTTCTTCAATTCCTCAAACCCACCATCTCCACTACCCTCCTCAAGCCCTCTACGCGGCGCAGCGCATCCCTATTCGAACTCCTAACCACCAATTGCCGAAGCTTCAGCAAGATGCATCTCAGGCAATTCTTTACCCTGTTGCTTCCTCCGGCCGCGGCTTCGTTCCTCGCCCCATTCGGCCTCTTCCCACCGATCAGGCGGTCACGGTGGCCAACCCTGGCGGCTACCCACATCGCCCCGCCGTCACTTTCCCGCATCGGCCGATTGGGTCGCCTCATTTGGACTCCATGAGCCATCCAATGCACTTGGCGCGACCTCCCAATTTGCCGCAGCAGTTGATTTCCGTTTCTGGGTCCGCCATTTCGGGCTCGATTAAGGGTGCCCCCAATTCCTCTGATCCAAAGGTTTGTTGGGTTGTAATTTGATTTAGCTTTTGACGCGTTAATTTCATGGGTTTAAGGAGTTCACGTTTCGGTTCCTTCCCTACAAGAATTGCTAGAATTAAATCCTTTTTTGAGTTACCCGTTGGTTCTTTCATATCATTTTTCGAATGCCCAAGTTTCTTTTTACTGATCCTGTTTCGTAGATCTTCTTCATACTTTAAATTTGTTTTGTTACCCTTTCAAGGTTTTTCCCCCATCAACAATCTGCGAGTCAAATGGATGTAAAGAAATGAGGTAATGGTTGCTCCTTCTGTAACATATCTTTCATTCATGCTTTACAAATCATTTGACATTCTGCTGTTCTGTTTTGCCTGGGGACAGAGTCAGAGATGATGCTCTTGCTGTGATTAGAGATCGAAAAGTAAGCTCTAAAATTCTTAACATCATGGTTGTTTATATACGCGATTTTTATACGATTTGGTGGATGTTTTATATGTTTTTAGCATGAATTAGGGGCATGTTCTTCATTTTAGTATGAACGATGGCGATAATCGATTCTCTTTAAAGAATATATGCTTAGGATCACCACAATTATATGGCATACTAAGATAGTAGCTATGTCAGGTCCGAATAACTGATGGGGCTTCTCTTTATGCACTTTGTCGATCATGGTTGAGGAATGGTTCTCAAGAAGAATGCCAGGTTTGTGTTGTTTCTGATTGCAACATCTTTCCTTTTTGTGGATTTGAACTGCACTTTGCTGCTCTTGTTCTGAAGCATGTTATTTAATGGATCTTTATAGGTTATTGGATTAGATTCGTGATTAATAGTTAACACTGCAGCTGACAGCCTTCTATGCTGTATCTTTCTCATTCATATTTTGTTCATATCAATGTTGGATTTTTCATCGTCATTGCTGCAAAATGTGGTCTTTTAAGATTCTTTTATCTCCTCTCCATTAGTACAAACAAGTCAATAACCTGACTTAGAAATAGATCTTTGAGACTTCGTCTTTGGTTTTAGAATGTTCAACGATCTTGGTGAGGAGAGTACATGTAACAGTGTAAGCTCACCACTAGCAGATATTGTCCGTTTTGGCCCGTCACGTATCGCCATTAGTCTCATGGTTTTAAAACGTGTCTGCTAGGGAGAGGTTTCCACACCTTTATAAAGAATTCTTTGTTCCCCTCTCCAACCGACGTGGGATCTCTCAATCCACCCCTCTTCGGGGTTCAGCGTCCTCGTTGGCACACCACTCGATGCCTTAACTCTGATATCATTGGTAAGAGTCTAAGCCCACAGTTAGCAAGTATTGTTCATTTGTTCCTTCATTAGTTGCGCGACGATGTCTTTCTCAAGTCCTTAATTTGAGTGGTTCCTTAATCTACTCGTGCTTTACTAGTATGTTTCAACTCATTCTTTTCTGCATTTAATAGACAAGATTCTGTTCTTTTACATATGATGGATGTTCCTGTCTGTGGGGACTTCCCATTCCGATAGAAACTTTACTATATTGCAAGGTACCGCTCTCATTCCTTGTTGTATACAACCTACTTTTTTCCTGTGAGATCCCACGTCGGTTGGAGAAGGGGAACAAAACATTCCTTATAAAGGCGTATAAACCTCTCTCTAGCAAGACGTGTTTTAAAACTGTAAGGCTGATGACGATACACAACGGGCCAAAGCAGACACTATCTGTCAGCGGTGGTGGATTTGGGCTATTACATTTCCATTCCCCAAAATGCACTAATTGATCTGACTCATATACATCTGTTTCTCGTTGGTGGTGTTGTTAGAGATGGTAGATACTATGCCGCCTCCCCTCAAAATGAAATATGATAAGAAGTAACAATGAAGAAAGAACAGGGGGAGCTATTCTTCTGTTTTGTTTTTTTGCTGATAATTTGTTCTATTGACAGCCACAATATGGGAACTTTTTGAGGCCTCTTCCAAGACCTTTGCCCATACCCGTGGCTGGTGCTGTTCCATCGCAGAAGAAGGAAGTCGTCGTAGACGAAGTTGACGAGGAAGATAAGGTTGGTTTCTGTTTAGTGTCATGAACTCTTCTCATGAATGTTATTAATTTTTATGAATGTTCTGCAAGGATCATTGGATATAGCTTTACCTGTGTTTCTGCATTTTAGGATGAGGGATCCATTGAGCAGTTGTCATCGCAAGATCTATTAAAACGGCATGTTAAACGAGCAAAGAAAGTCCGATCACGGTGCGTTAGTTCTGTAGTCAAATTTTATATGAACAGCATCCTCTTGCTCTCTCTTACTGAATCATGATGTTGGATGCCTGTACATTCTCAGTTTGAATTATAAATTTTGTTGCTTTCGATCCGTGTAATGCTTCCAGATTGAGGGAAGAACGGTTGCATCGAATTGAAAGATACAAAACCCGGCTCGCTCTTCTCCTTCCTCCGCCAGTTGAGCAGTTGAGAACTGATAATATTACTGGAAGCTGAGTGTTGATCCCAAAAAACTTGTCGAATTCGCTGTGGACCTTTGTCCAAATCGTTCTTCCCAACGACAGATGAACTCGAGAAACATTCGACGGAAGCGCGGGGAGGATTATATGTAGGTAAGAGTAGGAGGGTATTTGATAGAGTTAGGTAATTCTTGTTCTTTCTTGGCAGCAGTTTGTATCATGGTGCTTTGTATCAAGTTTTAAAAAAAAGAAGACACAATGAGTAGGACCATGTGAATAGTGAATAATTGTTCTTTACACCCTTGTGTGTGCGCGCGCGCGCTTTGTCAAATACCATTAGTATCCATTGATGATATGATGATACCTACACATTGCCAAATTGCATGCTTCCAAATCCCTCGTAATCATGAAACTTTGAAATCTTTCTTGGAAATTGCAACACCATTTTGTCCCCTTCTAATATTTTCTCTATATTCATCTGAATTTAGATATGATTTTGGTTTTGATTTTTTATATCAAAACTCATCAGCTAAATTAAGGACTTTTCTAAACATATGAGATCTTATATCGAGTCTCATCAAGGATGTTGGGCCTAGAAAGGAGTGGATTTTGAGATCTCATATTGGTTGAAGAGAGAAACGAAACATTGTTTATAAGGTGTGAAAATGTCTCCGTAGGCGTTTTCAAGAAAAGTTCGAAAGGAAAAGTCTAGAAATGACAGTATCTACTAACGGTGGGCTTGGAGTGTTACTAAGAACTAAAAGTATTGTTTTAACCTAGCAAATGGTGACCGGTATGGTGCAAACTCCTCTCTCTCCCATGATGTGCTTTGGAAGTAGCCATGAAGTAGTCTAATACTGCCCACACGAACCCTAATTCGTAAAGTAGTAAGAATTAATAAAGTAGTAAGAATTAGTTTCTATTAGACATGTTCGGAAAGTGAAACATCTAGTTCATAAACTTAATACAGTACAAGGATCTAAAAATTTAAAGACTAAATACGTGCATGAATCACGATGGGTTGGTTGGTGATGATTGAGGGTAAATAGAAGGTATATATATGGGTATGAACAAGGAGGAAGCTCCACGCCTTTGAACATTAATCATAAACCTTTGTGTCTCCAAAAGCTCGAACACACAGAATTTAAGCTTATCCCTATTTTGTTCCATTTCATTATCCAATAATAATAGCTTTGAAATTTTCTCAATTTTGTCTCCCATCCCCCTCTTCTTCTTCTTTCTTGCACTATGATTTCAAGTTGTTTTTGTCGATATATAAAATTTATTTTCTTAAACCAAATTCAAAATATTCCATTCCATCACTAGAAATTCATACATACGTGATATCATTTACATCATTATGTTTTTTTTCGTTCGAGAATTCTTAAAAAACAAATTTATCGACATTTCCATCTACATTTTTATAATCCCTTTGAACATGAAAATTGAATAATTTTGTTTTAAATTTATATGTCCATCCATATAAACAAAATTTCAACATTATAGCAATTATAAAAAAAATATAAATCTTGAAAATTCACATAGAAATGGTGAACAAAAAAAGGTTGTGAAGCGGAAACCCTAATTATTGTTTGTAGAAGGATCAGTGGGTGAAAATGAAGAGGACCCATTTGAAGTAAACGAAAACCCAGAAGCCTTGGAGTTCACCGGCTGAATAAGGGCGGCGCGTTCACAAGACGCACACATGGTGAGAGTGGTGGCGGGGGAATGCATGAAGAGAGAATCAGTTGTTTTCAAAGCTCTTAAATCTTGAAGCTCCTTTCGAAGCTTCCTGTTTTCTTGGGTTAGTGTTTGGCAACAGTTTTTCAAGTATTCACAGTCAACTTCGGTTTGCTTCAGCTTGGTTCTGTAATGTTAAGACTGTAACTAAATAAATAAATAAATAAATAAATAATGAAGAGAGAGATAATGGCGATGGTCACCTTGCTCGTCTGTTTTGAAACCACACTTCTACTTGGCGTGGACGAAGATTTAGCCTTCTTGCAACTTCTGCCTTTTGCTTCTGCTATTTCATCTTTTTAAATTTAAATATATTTTCAATAATACCGGTTCTATTGTTCTATTGTTAAGAATCACGACTCTTCACAATCGTATGATATTATTCATTTTAAGTATAAATGCTGTGGTTTTGCTTTTGATTTTGGCGGGAAGATTGTTGGGAAAGAAAACCACGTGGCTAATTAAGTGAATGATCTTGAGTTTATAAGTAAGAAAGTATGAAGCTTTTTGGAAACCAAAAGTTTAGGTTCAAAATGGACAATAACAGTGGAGCTTTGTCATTACTATCGTGGTATTAATATCATGCTTTCAACTTAGCCATGTCTCTAACGCGAATAAAGAAGAAGTTGCTAGTCAAAATTGACTCAAGTGTCAAACAAAGGGTATTTTTTGCTCGATGGCTCTAGAGAAAAGAGCTGAGCCTCGATTAAAGGGTTACAGTGAGAGTATAATTTGTGTGAGGGCTCTAGAGTAAGGAGTCGAGTTTCGAATAAAGAGAGGTTGTTCGAGAGGTTCATAGACCTCAGATTAAACTAAACAAACTCTATAGGTCACAGAGGAGATGCTAATGTTATACTTTGTTGAGAGAGGAGAGGAGGATGGTTGGGAGAGATATATTCCATTGGCTAATTAAGAAAATAATCATCAATTTATAACAAAAGAAGAAGGGTCTTACAGGGTCAAGTGTATGATGATCTTTGAAGCAGTCTTCAAGGAACGCGGACTGTTCTCTGAAAAGGCGCAGTTTCTTTCTGGAACCCAAAATTTGATCATCTTCATCGCTGCCTCTGGAGCAACCTCTGTCGCTATTACCCTGATGATGATCTTCCACTTCATACAATCCCAGCTCCAACGAGGAGCACACTAATGGAGATTCCCCATCGCCGCCGCCGCCGTCTGGAGTAGGAGTAGGAGGAAGAAGAGCGAGGTGAAGAATGGGCGGAGGGTGAAAAAAAGAGGGAAGGAGCTTAGGGTTGTGGTTGTGGGTTTGTTGTTGATCTCCCAGCCGCAAGCCCAACTCCATGGAAAGAGAGAGAAAATAAAGAAATTGGAGGAAGAAAATGGAGTCTTCTAAAGATTCTTTATGGATGAATCGGTCAAATTATAAGGCGCTGCTCATGCTGCTGCTGTCACTCACACCTCTCAACACACTCATTCAAACCTACACTCCCAATTATACGCCCATCCCTTATCCTTTTACTCACCCTACATCGGAGTAGATATGGTTCGTTTTGAATTTTTATGTATCACCGTCATTCTCAAAATTTTAAAACGAGTCTTCTACGGAGAGGTTTATAGAAAGGCTTCGTTCACTTTTCCAACCAATATGGGATCTCACTATCCAACTCACTTGGAGATCAGCGTCCTAGTTGACACACCACCCGATAACTTGCTCTGATACCATTTGTAACAATCTAAGGTCATCGCTAGCGATGAAGATATCAATCTAGCTCATGAACTTTGGCATATAACAATTTCGGTCTAATACTTAAAAATTTGAACGATTTATTCTCTATTATAAAAATATAAAGCATAAAATGGTTTTGATGGCTTCTTTTTATAAATAGAATAAATTATTACAAAATTTACAGAGATTATCTTAAAATTTTGAGGGAAAGATGAAAACAATATTTATTAGCTCTCAGCTTTATCTTCAATTGAATGACTAAAATATATGAATTTGGAACGGAAGGAAATTCATCATCCTTATTAACCCGTCACTTCATAACCTAACTCAGCACTCCAAACACGAAACAGCCCGAGAGCTTATAAATATGTTGTATTATATCCATCACCCCGTGCCCATAAACCAAGTATATATATATATATATATATATATATATATATATATATATATATATTTTAAAGGAAGCTTCATAATTGAAATGAATTATTGGGAGAGTAAAATTTGTAAGAATATGAAAAAATTTCATAAAATGTGATGATTATGGGTCTCCTATGCATTATGTTGTCCGAGTTGAAGTTTACATAATTACATTATTGCCATCATTATGCTTCTCTTCTTTGTCCCATTTCACCATCTTTTTTTATCTACTTTTATTTATTTTAATTCCCTTTTTTTAAAAAATGTGATCATTATTTAACATTTAAATTAATTAATTATAAGAACTAAATTTGTTAAGTATAAAGATATATTATTCTAATTTACAAATAGGAGTTTAAGTGATGATTAATCAAAATTAGTAAGAGATTAAGGATGTGCGGTTTTGATGATTATTAGCTTAACTTTTTTTAAAAAGCTTAAATTTGAATAATAATTCATACATGGTCGTGCATGATCATTATTACATAGTGTAACAAAGCATCATTACAAATAATTTATTTATCTTACTTTTTCTTTTTACCGATTCAAATCATTTCGGTAATTTTCTATAGTTATTTCGTAATAATAAGAAGGGTGGATGATATCATAATCTTTGATTAATAGTCAATTACATTATTTTTAATCAGGGATACACAAAAACATTTTTAAAATAATAATTGATGTTTTATTTATTAAATTAGGTTTAAATTAGTTTTACTGTCGTGATTCACGTTAATTTTAAAATATTAGAAAATTAAATTATAAAAATGTGAAATAAGGTATCCAATGCTACACAAAATGGTGACTCGTGGTAGACCATGATGATAATGTGTGATGCATGTATTTAAAACAAATTATTTTTCATTATTTAATTTGGATTTTTGTAAGGAACAAATATTATCCATTACGATATTATTTTTAAAAAATTCTGGCACCTTCATTATAACTATTTAGAAAAAGATAAAAAGAAAAAAAAACAAAATTATAATTTTAAAATATACAAAATGTTTGATAAATATTGGGCAACTTTTCTTTTATTTTTCAAGTATATATTTTTTAATTGGACACGTGGCAAAAATTGGTTGGATTATTGATGTGAGAGAGAGAAAAAAAGAGAGAGAATTTTGAGCATGGAGAGGTCAAATCCACTAGATTTCTTTGAGCCTCCAAAACCTTTTTCATTATCCCAAAACCCCAAAAAAAGAAAAACAAGATCAATAAATAAATAAATAAATATATGGATTTCACTTTAAATGGATTTGGTTGGATTTCAAGGAATTCTTTTAGGGTTTCTTTCTCGACTACTCTCAAAATTGCAATCGGATGACTCGTAACAACATTACTTCCCTTATTGTTTGTGCTATGTTCGTTCTTCGTCACACAACTATTAGTCATATTGTGGAGCTAGGGTTCGCAATTGTGATAGTTCAAATCTACTATTAAAAAATATTGTTTATTTTGATCCGTTATGTATCATCATCAATCTTACAGTCACTAGTAAAAAACCATACCTGTCTAAAGAAGTTTCGTTCCCTTTCCAATCAAAGTGGAATCTCGCACTAAGACTCCTACAAGTACTACTACTCAACATCATAAAAAATTTACCCAAAACTTGTGGAAGGAAGGTAATAAAATGGTAAAAATGAGAGTAGGGAATAGGGAGAGGGCATCAGCGGGCATCCCCATGCACTCACTCTCTGTGTTATCACCTGCAGTTATTAGACCAACACCTATCTGAACCTGGCTCAAAGAACAGACAACAGCTAACAAAAACCTTTCTACCGACCAGCTAATGAACTCGAGCTTTCAAGTCTATTGCTAGCAGATATTGTCGGTTTTAGTCAATTCTTCACAATTTTAAAACACGTCTATTAAGAAAAGTTTTTACACCTAACCATTTGTGATCTCACCCATCATTCATGAAAATTATTATGGTAAAAAAAATTGAATTTTATAAAAGAATCACCTAACCAAGGTGTCACAATATAATAAATATCATATGTATGACTTTGTCGAATATTTTATAAATATATCAATTCATGTCAACTATTATCTTAAGATATTTAATTTTTAAATCTCCATTATCACCTATTGTAATTAATATATATACATATATATTAAAATAATTAAACTAGCCAACCAACTTAAATATATATTGAATATGTTAAAGGTTGAAATTCGGGAAAAATAAATAAATGGAGGTAAGATAATACAAATAAAATGGTAATAAATCGACTCATTTCTTCAAATTCAATACACAAAAAACAGAGCAAAAATACACAAGAGGCAAATGCTGAAGCAACATTTCAGCCACCGCCACGGCGGTGGCGGAGGATGATGGAACAATCTGATCAGGCTGCGAGCTCGGACTTTCCGGCGCCGCCTACAAGTGCACAAAGCCTGAATGCGAGTTCATACTCCACGAACTCTGTTTCGCCCTTCCGTCGGAGATCCACCACCCCTCTCACCCGAAGCACCCTCTCGAGTTCGCCTGTGACGGATGCGGCGACATTGGCTCCGGCTTCATCTACCGGTGCTCCCGGTGCCAGTTTGACCTGCATATCCACTGCGCCGCCCTGCCGGAAATCATGGCCGGAAAGAACCATGGGCACCGGCTCCGGCTTCAGTTCGGATCAAAGGGGAAGGGATTTCGGTGCGGTGTTTGTGAGGGAGGATTTGGAAATGGGCGTTGGGTATATTACTGTGGGGATTGTGATTTTGGAGTCCATGTTGACTGCTGCGTGGCTGAAGATGAAGGGGAAGAGGAAGAAATTGAATGATTTTAGCTGCTGAAATTCACTTTTTTTAATGTAATTTTAGACAAATTATGAATTTACTCCTTCAATTTTGATAGTTGATAATGATCTTGGTAACTATTTAATTATGCACAATGTACGGATTAGCACAATGTAAGGATTAACACATAATTAAATTCCTTTCGAGTTTCGTCTTCACCCTTTTGTGCATTAGCCTTAGGCGAGGCCAATCTCACAATTGAGATAGTCACTCGAGAGGTTGCGTAGTAGCTTTCAACTCCGCCCGCAAATCCTTCCAGTTCTTAGTGCCATCCAACCTCGATAGAAGTTCCACACTGCTAAAGTACTCAGAGAAATTCACTCGTTAAGTGTGAAAGAGGACAAATGTAACCCTCAACGTTGAACTATTCATGTAACTGAGAGATACAATTATCATCGCTTTACCACGGAGCTAACTTTCCTATTTTATCTAGGACATAGCTTTATTTTTCTTTTTTAATATTAATTACGAAAAAGAAGCATATATTGTCCATAAATTAAAAAAATTTATATGCACCAATCAAATAATTTCCATTTAAAAAAAAAAGGAATAATTCAAATAACAAATACAAATAATCTCAAAACCAACTGTGAATTCTCACAAATTACATAAATTACCCCAACCTACTTTTTTCACTTTACATAGCTACCCAATCCGGCCCAATCGGACTCGATTCAATTCGATCCGATTCGATTTCTCTAAAACCTGCCGCCGTTATCGGAACGCTCCCGGTGAATAGACGACGGAGTCTGAACTCTCGGCGACGGTGACAGCTCGCCGCCGGAAGGCATGTCGGAAAGGGCTGCTAACAACCGGCGAATACTGACGGATCTCGCCGGTTTGAAGCTGAGAGATTTCAATTTCTGGTCCTTAGAGAAGAGATCAGAGGATTCGGAGAGGATAAAATAAACAAGAAGTTGAACTAAGAGGAACATGGCGATTTTGACGAAGAACTCGCCGGCGTCAATTTCCAAAATAGGCATCATGATGGAGATTTAGAGTCACAGAAAGAAGACGAAGAAGAGCGGATTGTAATTGAATGTAAAAGAATGGAGGTTTGAGCGGGGTTTTATAGAGAGGGAAGGTAGCGGCGAAGGTTGTTTGACCGTCCGGCCGCCATGTTTGGAACAGAGAGCTTGATGGAAGGTTCCAGGTCTTGATAAAACCGTGTTTCGTTCGGTCATAATGTCAATTCATTTGGGAAAGTATCACCGACTAAAACATTTTTACTTTTTTTAATTAATTTTGTAAAAATACATGAATAACAACAAAAGTCGCTTTGGCCGAGTGGTTAAGGCGTGTGCCTGCTAAGTACATGGGGTTTCCCCGCGAGAGTTCGAATCTCTCAGGCGACGATTATTTTGTTTTTTTTTCTTACTTTTTAATTAATCAAAGGTCCAACTGATCCCCCGTCTGTATTGTAAATATGCCGAGAGTTCGAATCTCTCCGGCGACGATTATTTTGTTTTTTTTTCTTAGATTATTCATTTAAAAGATCAAAAGGTTGAAATGTTACATATAAAATTAATTTTGATGAAAAATTACGTTAAGAGGATGAAGAACACAAACTTCAGAGTAAAAGTTGTTCCTAATTTCGATTCTCTCTAGAAGCTTAAAATCGAACTCGCTCCTTCCACAGTTAACAGCGAATCAGAATCTATTTTATTCTGTAATCAGATTCAAACATATTCATATTCGTAACAGACAGACAGGCAATTCAAAATTGGGGAAAAGAGGAAATGGAAACGGCAAACCGTGGAAATCGCGATTAGGCCGAGGGTTGAGCGAGTTTGGAAGCTTCCAGATCCGCGGCTTGCTTCAGGAAACTCTGATCGTCGTCGCTGAGCGCCATCTGAATCGGAGACGAGCCTAATCCATCGGCGATTGCGAGCAAGATGTTCTTCATCTCCGTCCGAAACTCATCCGCATCGACGCTTCCGCTTTTGTCGCAATCGAACTGCTCGAAAATAGAATCGTAGAGTTGAGTTAGTTGCTCTGGCGGAGTAGCAACGTCGACACCGAAATGAGTCTCGATTAGGCGGAGCGTCTCGAAGGCCTTGCGGAGCTCCGCTCGAGAGAGAACACCGTCGTTGTTGAGATCCAGAGCGGCAAATGCATCTTCCACGCTCTTCTTGAAATGAGACTCGTCGTTCACGAAGTTCCTCACCGTCGATCCGTCTATTACGACCACCGTCATTTTTGTTCTCTCTCTTCTTCTGTGACTCGGTGACTCAGTCCTGAGATCAATTTTGAAATGGTTTGTTGGGCTTTTATATTTATAGGGTGGGGACCACATGAAATTGTGATAAAACGAAAATTCCGCTTCAATTTTTTTTCTTTTAAAACTTAGAATTTAATTTTAAAGGCTAGAATCAGTCTAAATCAAATATTTTACCCTTTCTTTTTTGTATTTTTATAAAATAATTTTAAAAGAATATGATTTATTATTATTTTTTTGTAATAAAAGGGCAAGTTATTCATTTTATTGAATGTAAATGCAACAATTATTATATGCATAAATAATAAGGAATAAAACACTTGTTAGGTTTTAAAGAGTGTTGAACTAAAGTTTTACCTTTATACATTTTTCTAAATTAAGATATTATTACAATAAATTGGAGGGTAGTGGGAAAAGGACTTTATTGTTTGCTAAACAATATTTATTGATGGTTAAAAAGCAAGGAATAGTTCCTTGTAAAAAAAATAAAACAAAAAAAAGATACATTTCGTGGCCCATCTCATCATTCGATTCATTCAAAATTCTTTCTTATTCCACTCTAACGGCTCAAGTTTAACTCTAGTAGATATTGTTCATTTTAGCTCTATTGTCGTCACCCTCACTATTAACATATATTGTCATATCGTCGTCACCCTCACTACTAGTAGATATTATATACTTTAGTCCGCTACATATCACTGTTTTAAAATTTTCACACCCTTTTAAGAAAAACTTTGTTTCGCTCTCCAACTTATGTGGGATCTTGTAGCAACATTTAAATGCTTATGAATTGTTGATATTGTCGCATGATGTCGTATGTTTTAAGTTAAAGATCGACTCTGATAACACTTCTTAGAAATAATTCTTAAAGATAAATTTACTTTATACATCTCCACAAATATGTAATATTAGTCACATCCATAACTTTGCTTTCGTTGATCTTTTAAAAGGCTTAAAATTTAAATTATAAATTTGGTCCATGTGACGATGAGAAGGTTACAATTTAGTTCGAATTAATATTTTTTTATATAATTTGATAAAATATTCATAAATATTTTATGGTATTATTTATGAAATTTTATCAAACCATAAAATTCAACTGTTAGGTACAAACTTACCAAAATCGACCAAATTTATAATTTAGACGGAAAAAAAAAATCGAAGAACAAAGTCAAAACCCTGTCCTTCCAGAGTCAGACTTAGTCAATGACCGAAGTCTGACTAAAAAATTAACTTTTTTATCCATCGCTGATCCTTCTTTCCTCTTCTTCCTCACATACTTCCCCGGCGACGAATACCAGTTCTCCGGCGAACCCACCACCAGCACACTTTCCGGCGACCTCAACACCATTTCTTCATACTCCACCGCTGCCGATCGTGTACCCCCACAGGCCAAAACCCTCGCCTGCAGGGCGGCAACGACCTCCCTCATCGCCACGTCGACATCTCGGCGATTCCTCAGCAAAATCTCTCCAATTTGCGCCGGCGTCAGCCCACCGCCGGACCTTATACAGCTATCAACGACGTCGAACAGCGCGTGAGACTCAATCTTCAAATAATTCCTCACAAGAGACCGAAATGCCGCCGGCCCGCACGTACCTAGGCTCACGTGCACGTCCATTCGCCCGCACCGAACCAACGCCGGATCTATCTTTTCTCTGAAATTTGTCGTGAATACAACGATTCTCTCTTCCCCACAGCACGACCAAAGCCCGTCTGTGAAATTCAAAAGCCCTGACAACGTCACGCGACCCATTTCTTCCTCGTGATCCTCACGCGCCGTCGTCTTCAAACACCGATCCGCAGTGAGATCAACAGAGCAATCAATATCCTCAATCACAATCACCGATCGGTTTGTCGTCTGAATAAGAAGCGACCGAAGCTCAGAATTATCAGAAACCTTCGTCAATTCCAAATCATAAACATCATAACAGAGGAAATTCGCCATTGCTGCAATCAAGCTCGATTTCCCAGATCCGGGAGGCCCATAAAGCAAATACCCACGTTTCCACGCGCGGCCAACTCTGCTGTAAAACTCCTTTCCGGCGGCGAATGCCTTCAGATCATCCATTATCTGTTTCTTCAACTCTGTTTCTAATGCCAGAGTTTCAAACGTCGAAGGGTGTCGAAAGGGAACTGAAACCCATCCGGAATCATAAGAGCTTCCATTTCCACTGTTGGTGAAGAGCCGCCGCTCACGGGAGGTCCGTTCGAACTCCGCCGCCTTGGAGGTGACGTGATCGAGATACAGAGGAAGGAGTGTAAGGCGGTGGCGCTTGGGGATTTTGAGAGAGAAGCTTCGTTTCTCGTCCAACGAATCTTGAACGGTTTCCACGTGGTGGGTCCACGAAAATCGTTGGCCGTTGAAGGTGTCGTGAATGGAGTTATTCGGAGCGACAGTGAAGGAGATCCTATTGGAGGATTTGGAGCGGGAGAGGGACAAACGGCGGCAGGCGGCGGCGGATGAGGAGGCAACGTTGGTGGGGTTGTGGAGGGAGTTGAGATAGAGAGTAACATGGCGGTAGAGTTCATTGTGGTCGACGGAGCAGTAGCCGTTGAATTCAGGGACGTCGAAGTAGGAGAAAGGGGTGAAGAAATCTTGAAGGGATTCGTAAAGGGAATGGAGAAGGGAAAGGAATTGGGAAGGGAGGATGTTTTGGAGGACAGTGAGAAGGCCTAGAAAGGACCATAATTGAGAGAGAATCTCCATTGTTAGGGTTTTAGAGGTTGAAGGAGATTACAGAGGATGATGAGGGGTTTTGTTGAGAGAGGGAATGATGTTTAAAAGAGAAGAAAGTGAAAGAGAACTGACAAAAGTGGCTGTTTAATGTGTGGATAAAGGTAAAAGGGATGAAGATTAACCCCACCTCCCAATCTACTTTTTGATTTTGTTTCGTCCTCCATGTCTGAGGGAGCTAATGATCCATACCGAGAACTCAATCTTTTATCAAGCCAATTCAAGCATAGTTTAACTACATGTTATAATATAAATTGAGTATAGACGAATTTAGGACTGCAACGATTGCGAATTGTATTAAGAATTGTTGAGTGGGAGTCACACGCTAGCTAGTCGCAACGACCCAAACACTTACATTCAAGAGTGAAGGGTAGGTTTAACATGAACTGTTTTTTTGGAAATTGATTCGGATTGGAAGTTGGGAAGTGAGTGAGTGAGTGAGTGAGAGAGAGTGATGGATGGGCGGCGGAGGCGTAGTAGAGAGACGAGGGTGCGCCGCATTGGGGCGCGCGCAGACGACACGGGTGGCTTTTGCTTTTGGTGTGGCAGCGCTGCGTTGGTGCTTTATGTTTTCCAAGTGTTCCCTAAGCCCTTTTTTTTTTTTCCTTCTTTTTTTCACATCTCAGTTTAGGAGCCGTTTCATAACGTTTTTATTCACTTTTTTTATTTCATTTTTCCATTAAAAATAAATATAACATATAAATTTTGAATATTTAATTTTAAACCTATTTTCCTATATACTTTATATTTTTAATCTAAAATATAAATAAAAGTAACTAAATTTTGCTCTTACTAAATTTTCATTAATTAACCACCTACTAATTTTAACAAAAAAATAATAGCAATTATTGAATAATTTTATAATTATAATTTATTGAAAATTTATAAATAAATAAAAAATCTTTTTTTTTTTAAACAAAACTTTCTTTTTTCCCATTATTTGATGGATAGAGAAAACAAAATATCCATAATAATTGTTGGGTTGAATAAATATCTTTATTTCATTTCATTTGCTTTAAAATGTGTAAAGTTGAATGTAATTTATGGGTTTCATTTTAGAGAGCTTTTACTTTTGTTAAACAAAGTTTGCATTTTTATTCCACTTTTTTTAACAAAATAAAATACATTTTTCCTCTTAAAATGGTAATGGGAAAAGAACAAATTGTGTCGATACCAACGTTGCATTCCTTTTCTCTTTATTCTTTGAGCTCCTTTAACTTTTATTTTTAGGTCTAAAAATGGTTGAAAATAATGAAAAAGAAAAAGAAAAAGCTAAAGCTAAAGTGCAAGAGGAAAAGAAATTAGGGTTTGGAAGTATAAGTGGGTGACTTTTACCTAATCATTAACCAAATATTTGATGATATTCAAAAACCCACAACTTTATTTGTAAGAATTAGGGTTTTTAGAGGCTTCTAATCCAAGTTATTTAGGGTAAATTAATCTAAAACAATGGAATTTGAATGGTAGCTTACAAGGAGCCCTCCACTATAAGTCTAGTATTAAATTTCATACCTTGAGTGCCCTTCCTATCAACCAATTACCTACTTCTTCTATACTTAGACATTCAACCCAATCTTACCCTGTTTTTTAATTTCTAGAGGATAGGGTTGAGTTGAATTGGATTGGGTTGCGTTGTGAATTCTATTTAAGTTGCTCGAGTCACTAATCTAATTCATTTAGAATTTCATATTAGTCTATGAGAATGTTTGCTTAATCCACCCCCACTTAAATGATGGAAAAAATAATATATGGGAAAATACCTATGTTAATATCAAATATGATAGACTATATTTTCTAACCGTCTAAAAGAATTTTGTAATCCAATTCAATCTAATCCTAAATAATATGAAAAATCAAAGGAAATGGACCGTATAAATATATAATTACATTCAAATATCTTATTAAATTTAAATTTATTAGGGGATGAATAATGAAACATTAAAATGTGAATTAGACTATATTTTGAAATTTTCAAAATTTTTAAAATAACAACCTTAAGTCAATGGTAGTTGGAAGTTGAAGAATCCCTTTCTTTTTGGAAAGTAAAAAGAAAAAACATGAGCTGTCTGATTAATTGGTCTATTTATGACGTGGCCCAGTTATTATTGTTTCCCTTCCTCAATTATTGCTGACCTTGTCGTTTCTAAGATAAATCATCTTCTCATAATTTTCATGTTTTTATTTTCTTCACTTTTTAAAGATAATCTTTAGATTCTTATTCAAAATTTTAAAATAAATAAATTTCTAAAAATAAAAAAAGTAATTCTTTATTTTTCAAATTTTTGAAAACATACATAAAAAATATTTTTTATAATAAGGAAATACAATAGGTATTATTGTTATTTTTTGAATCTAAATTGAACGGTGAATGACTTTTACCGAGAGGGTAAAAAGTTTTGAATTACCGTTCATCTCCATTCCATGTGTCCTTCATCTTGGGTCCGGTTGGTCCTTCTTCTCCAAGAATTTCGTTCGGCAACTTCTTCACAAATCCTTTAAATCCCTCCTTCAATCTTCCCGGCAGCAACCTCTCCGCCCTTTCGATCTCCTCCGTGATCGAATACTCAATTCTCGGTCCCCATTCTCGGGTGTAATTCAACCACGGCGGCTCTGCCACCGCCAAATACTCAGCTGCAACCACCGTGTACTTCTCACCGGCGTCAAGCATCAGTCCACTCTTCGCCGTCTCATTTCGAATCCCGATCTCGGATAACCCCTGCAGCACCAACCCCTCCTTTGGGTATGACGCGTGACCGTTCAACGACGAATACGCCACCACTTTACTGCCTTTCTCGAACTCGAGCGACGGCGCGTCGACCCACTCACCTTTACTGTGTTGCGCAAAGTAAACCCGCCAGAGCTCGCCCGTGAAATTGCTTATGCGTAACGTAATGTGCTCCCAATCGCCGATGTGTTCGCCGATTTTTCTCAATGGAATGTCGATTAGCCCGACCTTCACCGTCGCTGGGCCATTGAAGGGGAAGAAGATCCATATCCCGATGTCGGTGAAAATCCCTCCGATCATCGGCTTCACATGGAGATAGACTTTTGAGGTTTGTAAATCCCCATTTTTCAATTTCTCTTTTGCTTCCTCGTCGGTGGGAAGATCTAACCAGAATTGTCCATCATTGTCGCCCCCTTGAGGCAAATTCGACCCATCCGGTTCGATAAGAACCGGATTTGACTCGTCGGATTTATCATGTAACAGAGCCCCGCCGGAGAAAAACCACTCCACCGATGACGGTAGGTATTTTTCTTTCGGGTGAAAGTATATAATCGGAGAATAAGTTTGAAACAGATGAGCAATTTGATTCAAATCCGGCATAGCTGCCGATACCGAATTCAAATTCCTCAAACAGAATAACGGCGGCGGCGGCAAACTCGCTTCCGCAGGGGGCAGAGCTACAAAAGCGCCGGTAAAAACTCCAGTCGCCGTACTTCCTCTGTTTTTTGGTCTGCTACTGTAAACATTAAACCGATTCTCGTCAATTGATTTCGTCAGCCCCCAAATCCATGTCTCCTTCTCGCATTCCTCCGTCAGATCCGATCGGACGCAACGAATTTTGTCGACGGAGGGTTTCTCCGGCGAGTCTGTGACGACGTGGCCGACGGCTCTGTAACCGGCCGGCGGCGTCGGCAACCAGATATAGCCGTTACCATCTCGTTTAATCTTTGACGACTCGCTGCTCCAAACCAGAGTATAATCCACAGGCTTCTGCAGAGCTTCTTCTCCGGCGGACCCGCTATTTTTACCGGCGAGAACAAATCCAAACAGAGCTTTACTGTTTGTTTGACAGAAATAGCCCAAAACGAAGAATCCATCAGGAAGTGAACTGGGTTCGAAGAATGTAGCTCCAAGATTCTCCGGCCCACCTTCACGGGCGGTCCAAATCCTGTTAAACGAGGAAATCAGTCGGACTTCGAGCCCGCCACCCAAGTCGATTGCGCCAGAAGCAAATCCTCCGCCGTTGCTGGCGTCATCGGTGTGCCAGGCCGGAAGGGGGGAAGGGAAAGAGAATTTAGAATCGATGGGGAGGGTCTTGGGAGGGGTTGAAGATGAAGAAAAGCAGTTCCCCATTAATGGCGGAAATTGGAACTAAAGACGAAGATTATTTTGATTGAAACTCGTTTGTTTCTGGATGAGTTTTATTTTGTTTTGGGTAATCTCAAGAAGACAAATTTTATTTTAATTTCACAAATAAGTATTTATTTATTTTATTTTTTTCGTAGCATAGTTGCGTGTTGGAGAAATGGGAAAAGGAAAGGAAAAAATAAATAAATGGAAATTTGTCAAATTAATGCTTTTTTTTTTTTTTTATCAATACAAAATTTCAAAATTTATTAAACATTAATCAGATAATTTAATATAATTCAACAATAATTTTGATATTCTTAAGACTTAAAAAACGATAAAAATTATAATCAAACTTATAATACAACATAAAATTAATATATTTTATTGAATTTGTAACCATTTAAATTGTGTAGAGAATTAAAATTCAATTGGTTGTGTGTTGGTTTAGTATTCGAATGACATAATCGACACACGATAATACGCTAACTACATAGAATAAGAATTACGCCCAAACATATATATATATATATATTTTTTTTTTTTTATGAGTTCATTGCTTGACGTGAAAGACAATTAAATTCTTTACATAAATTCTCACGTTGTAATTTAAAATATTACCAAATAATGGTAATGAACTAAATACATAAAATTTAAAATTCAATAAAATTCGTTTTTATTTGTGGCAGCCATTAATGATATTCAGAAGCTTTTAACTGCGTTCATCGCCATTCCAACTATCCTTCACTATGGGTCCGGTGGGTCCGTCTTCTCCAAGAATTTCATCTGGTAATCGGTCCACGAAGTTTCTAAAACCCTCTTTCAGTCTTCCCGGCAGAATTTTCTCCACCTTCTCCACCTCCTCTGAAACTCTGTACTCGATCTTTGGTCCCCATTTCCAGACGAAGTTCACCCACGACGGCGCTACCACCGCCGTTC